AAACAACCAAACCTAGCCAACACAGACTTTGGGTGGCAAAAACGCGCACTTAAAAAGGAGAAAAAGTAGAGGAGAGAGGAGGAGGAGGAGAGGGAGGGGAGATGGAAGAGTCTAGAAAAAGTAGAGACGGGATTGAGAATAAGATTGACTTTTTTTGTTTGTCAATAAAAGATTAAGCGTGAAATCCCAATATATTTCTGAATTCAGAAGCTCAAGGTACATTCCAATTCAAATCCAACTTATACCGGAATTTTTGAATGTCGGAATTGATTTGAACTTATCAAAATTAGAGAGTGTGAGGTGAGGCTTGATTATCCAAATGGGGCATCATGGGAAGTTAAACCAAGGCTTGATGAAGAGGCGCGTCATGGTGGTCGTCTGCTCATGACACAAGGGTGGTTAGGATGTTGGGAAGCAACGAACACAATGGTTTTCGAGCTTGTCAATGCAAGGACGGATCTATGTCTTGGTTAAAAACTATTTATGACTATAATAATCTTTAAAAAAGAAATTGATTTTGGGGGGTTTGGATATTTATTATTTTCTTATATATGTGGAGGGGAGCTCTACTTGCCACGTCATTCCTTTAATTGGTGGATAATGATCTATGTGTATGAAATTACAAAGATACCCTTGCCACATCATTATAGTTAACAGACTTTTGGACAGAGTTAACGGCAGGGGGCAAAGTGAGTCACCAATCCATGGTCAAGCGGGGTAAGTGGGCCACTTTACGTTTTGGAGGGCAATGTGAGATTTGACTGTAGTTTCAAGAGGTATTGGTGTAAATAAGCCTAAATTAATATCAAAACCAACATGGGAAATATTGAATGTCTGCCAACACAAAATTTTAAGGCTTATTTGTTGAAATGCCCCATGTAGTTTTCAAATAGTCTCAATTGCCCTATGACATTTCAAATGACTCAATCTCCCTCCTTAACTTCTTTTAAATGACCAAGGTTACCCTATTCTGTTAGTTTTCAGGTAAAAACCGTTAAATTTGTTGAAGTGGCATGAATATTTTGGTAAATTTAACTAATAGAAATTAAAAAATTCAAATTAAATATAAAAAAAATGATTGAAATTATCTAAAAGATGTAAAAAAATAAAGATAAAAATGTCTCCTTTTTTTTCTTCTCCCTAATCATCACCCCCCACCACCTTCTCCCTCATCTCAACCAGCCTCACCGCCCAAACAACACACACCTAAAGAAAACCCACCCCAAATTCTCCCTTCTCTCTCTCTCTCTCTAGTCAACCGCTACCCCCCAGTTGTCAAAAGGCTCAAAACCCACAAACAAAATCACTAAATTGACTTCAAATTTCATATATGTGGTAGTCCAAATCTCCATTGGTGGCTGCCAAAGAAAGAGAGACAATTGGGAGGTGAGAGACAAAGGGTGAATTGTTGGTTAGGATTTGATGATGTCGAAGAGCGAAGGAGGAGACAGCGGCGAAGACAAAGGGTAGAGGGCGAGTTGGGTTTTTGACTACTGGAGAGAGAGAGAGAGAGAGAGAGAGAGAGAGAGAGAGAGAGAGAATGGTTGCTGGATTTTTTTGGTACCTTTCTTTTGACAGAGGAATGGGGATGGGGAAGGTGGGGGTTGATTGGGCGGTGGGGCTGGTTGAGATGAGGGAAAAGGTGGTGGGGCTGACGATTGAAGGGAAAACAAAAAGAAAAAAAGAGGAGATATTTTGATTTTTTCTATTTAAACCCCGCACTTCTCTTTGTTCACCCCAACTTCTAATTCAAAATTTCATAATTTCTAAGTAAACCCCATTGTCTTCCCAAACTACCCCTAAACACACACCCATGAGAAAAAACAATAAATAAATAAAACTCATTAACCTCACCCCTCACCCCACTTTCTCCTTCTGTGTGGTGTTATGTCGAGCAGAAGCAATCGGAGCCTTACTCCGAGTGTTTGGTGCTGCAAGAGTTTTAGGCACCTCAGTCTTTTCTTGGTCCATCTCTTCTGAAACGGCTCTCCTCATTCCTTTCTTGGGGTTCCATCAATTTCCACAACCACACTAGGCTCAAGCCGCCAAAGTTTTATCTTAGTTGTCCAGAACCAAATGAAAACAAATTGCATAATTAACACTATGGATTTAAGCACCTAAGTTAGTAATTACTAGAATCCCTTAAGATCATAAATAAACTAAAAACTAATGCAACAAGAAAAAATAAAAAAATACTTAATGTCACCTCTAAAAACCCATTTGCACAAATACAATTAACAATCACCAAGAACCCAGATGATAAGAACCCCAAAGAAAAGGAAAATGTAACCAAAACTTGAAGAAATATTGCACCAACTACTGAGGATCCTTTCAAATAAATACCAAAAAGAATAATAAATAACCCAGATAACAACAACGTCAGGGAAACAATTATAAATTCAGAAAAGACAAATAAAAAGATTACTCAGTGTCAAGAAGATAATGGCGATAGAATTACAAGTGGTTATCTTTATGTCTTCATGAATGACAAATGAAGAGCAGTCATGCGAGAGCTCGATGATTGCCTGGACTTTGCAAGCAATGGTTTTTGTTTTTTTGTTGTTGATAGCAGTGAATTATGTTCTTAATTTGAGCAATAAGAAACCAAAGAAAGTTACGGGGTTTAAACACAATAATAAGTGGATGACTTTTTTTGTCTTTTAACTCAATAATAAAACTTAAGAGCTTAATGATTTAAGTATTGAGGTGAACAAAGAAAAGTATGAGGTTTAAATAAAAAAACTCAATATTTATATCCTTTTTTTTTATACCTATTTAAAATAATTTCAAACATTTTTATATTTAATTTGAATTTTAAATTGTTAAATTTATCAAAATACCCACTCCCACGTCAAGTTTCAATGGGGCTTATCTTCTCTTCCTTTTATTCTGATTGGGCTTGTATTTTGTTCAAAATACCAGTTGGGGCTCTCGTTAATGGCCTTGGGCATACAGTAGATAAAACGGTATTTTGTTTTCAGAATGCATGAAGCGGCGATGAGAGACCTTTCTCTTTAGGGTTTAGGCGTTAATTAAGTTCACGGCCACACGCTCCTTTTCTCTGTTTCCGAGGCAGGTAGGTACAAAGAAACTCCCCTTTTGGTTTTGTTAGAGGCCATGGGAAATGGTTCGAACGGCCAGGAAGATGGGTTGATAATCGTTTCTATTATTTGTATTTTTAGATTTTCTAGCTATATATATGGCTTATTAATTAGTGTGATTTCATTGATGCCCAGGTTATGGCTGTTCGTTCTGTGCTTGGAAAGCTGGGTAGGAGTAGATTTATTCCCAACAATGGAAGACTTATCATGGTTGGGAGTTCTCCTACTGTTTGTTCCCCTCCTCATCACCCTTTTGATTATTATGGGGTTGTCCATGATCAAAACAAAGCGGATAAAAAAAGCAACCCTTTTCTTCTTGGATCGCTTATGAAAGAGGTGCGTCATGCGTGTGTGTATTAATTATGTTATCGCCTTCACTTTCATTGCAATTCAATAATTATGTTATGGCTTTCACTTTCATTGCAATTCAATTCAAATATCAAGTGTTGATAGACTCGTGATTATTCACAGCCAGTTTATTGTCATTTGGATTTTGGAGGACTAGGACCTGTTCGTTTCGCCATTGAAGAGTTGAGGAAGAAAAGGGTTTCATTTTTTTTTGCCCTTTTTTCTTTAGTACAGATGCATTACTACAATATATGCAAGTTTTGTGGATTATTATTGACACGTTTGATATCTGTATAATGATTTGGCATCTCTTGTAGAATATCCAACTGCAGTCTGTGAGAGTGCTGAGGGTGTTAGCATGGAAAGATGTTGGCTTGCCACGACATGATTCTGACTATGATCTACTGCTGGAGGCAGTTGATGCCGATGTGATGAGATATTTCGAAGTAACAGTGTCAGTTAATTCCAGGGATGGCTTGTGGTTGGAAGACTTTTGTCTTCTCGTTGATAATAAAAAACCTATAAGATTATATCATCACCTAGGTACTATAATTATGGCATGCTGCTTTCACAATATCCTTAAGAATTTAGTATTAGTAATGTGATCATTCCAGGACTCACTTGTTATTGTAGTTTAACTATACAAACCGTCACTACAAGAAAAAGCATTAGTAGTTTAACTATACATCAGTCGTACAGAATGGCTAGAGGTACTATTAGTGTCTAATATCACAATGGTCACCAATAACTGTGGCTGTTAGCTATTAGCCACTGATGTTGCCCTTTAGCCACCTCATCCTATGCAACTAATTTCAGTGACTATTAAGGGTTTTTCTTTTATTGTTGATTTTTCAAGTCTTTACTTATAGATCATCCTTGAAAAAAAAAATTAGCCAAATCGTAAGCATCTAGTTGCAATGAAATAATTGACGAACATGGTTTTCTCGATTGATATTAAAATGATTACCTTCCAATCAAATAGTTATATATTTTATGATTTTTGTGATTTTGTTGCAAATATGATCTATGAGGTAAGACTTAATAATTAGAGAGTCGTGATCAAAACTCAATGCGGAGTTGGTGGGGTTAGTCTGCTAATGATATTCCTAATTATGCATATGAAGTAGTTCTTTTGGATGACAAACCCGAAAACGTGAGAATGTTGCATATTGAAGAATGAATCGAATTTTTTGCTTGAAACAGACAACTTTTTTGATGCAAATGCTAAGGCTCGAGAGCAGTTATCATTTGGTATGCGAAAAGGAAACCTCTCTCTGCTGCCTCCTTCAGCCCTCCCTCATCTCTCATACACAAACCCGGGACACAAAGAGGAAACCACCACTCCAAAACGCAGGTATTCATATCAGTTATGTTTGTTGTCGTCTTATTTTTGGGTTTCCACAGTTCAGGTAATTTTTTTTTTGAAAAAAAAAAACCTTATGTGTTTGATTTTGGATCTGGATTCCTCAGAGGTCGAACGAATGCATGTGAAGTGGCGAAACACTTCGGTCCAGCTCCCGGTGTACCTCAAAAGTACACCAAACCTTATGTCCGGTCAAAGAGAAGGAAGTTTGAGAAGGCTAGAGGAAAGAGGAACAATGAGGGCTTTAGAGGTTGAATCATTTAGAATTGAAAATGCTATTTGTAGAACCTAATTTTGCTGGTCTTTAGGTGTCTGGTATCATGTTTATTTCTCTGTCTAGTAAATGTGTTGATGAAGGCATTGCTGGTTCAACAAGAGAGAAGCCCACTACCATCTATCTCGAAAACTATCCATGTGTATGGTTTTCTGCAACCTGAATGGCCAAAATATTTAAAATTGTGTTATTTTTTATTCTTTCGAGATGCTTAGCTGCAGCTTGCGGAAGTTGAAATTAGTGTGTTCAGAAATGTGAAAGGTGGTGTATGTGAGAGTTATGCAACTCCTAAACCCATAAAGGTGGCTCGTGTAAGTACATAGGTGAAAGATAGTAGCAGCATTAGGAAGATTTTGATTGTTTATTGAAAGTCCAATGTCTGATAAATAAAAGAAAATTTGTGGCTATGAGATTCCGTAGATCATATGATTCTTCCTGAGAATGTGTGTTTGTCTAAGTCCCCCGCATATTGATTCCCTTTGTTACCATCCACTTGATACTTAGAGCCTCCTGACCACATTATAGTGCATTGCCCAGACTTAACCTTTTTGGTTTGTAGTTTGTTAAAAATGCTAGGGTATATACCATAATGCGAATTCCATCATCCTGAATCCTATTCTACTCATTAGTAGGCATTTTATAATCTCTACCAAAGTTATGATTGGCTTATCTGTTGCATCTGAAATTGTGTTGTTGAATGTCTCATAAGGGTTGTTGATGAGCATGTCACATTTCACATGTACTTTGAAGTGGGATTTAGACCACTATTGTGGAGACTTAGATAATAGCCATTCTCTTATGATATTGCAAGACTGTAGTGGCTTTGACACAACCCCAGTAGATGTCTTTAAATGTATTGCCTTTGAGTAATTTTATGTAGTAACTAAATAAATGCCTCGCACAAAAACGATGCTCAGCATTAAGTACTATAACTTATCTTCAAATGCTCTAGACAATCCTTTTTGCCTGTCAGATTTAAATCCCCACCCATGTGAGTTAACAATATCAAAATTAGCAGCTAGCAATTCAAGGAACCAAGTCCAAGAGCGTTTTGTCTTTATCTCCACCACTACATAAGGAATGACCAATGTCTCATTCTTAGCATCTATCCCAATGGTTGTCAACATTTTGTCCCTCATACACTGCCATCAAGTGACAACCATCTATTCCAATTAGAGGCCTATAACCTTCCTTGAACCCCTTTTTACACTCTCATAAACATACATAAAGTCTTTGATACACTGCACCATTTCCATTTAAATCACACTTTATTTTCATGGTGGTTCCTGGATTAGTTCTCTTCACTTCTTCACGACCATTCATTTGAAGCAGCATCTAGTAACGACTTTGGAACAATAAGTTAAAACTATTTTGTTTTCGTATTTAACTTTTCCACGACCACCTTCTAATCTTTATCCAAATTTGGTGCAAGCAGTGTAACAAGCACACACAATAAGACTATATCAGAACACATTAACACAGAGACATTTTTTGGGTCTTGTAGAGGAAATGGTATCAACCTTCAAACTAGGACCACTAGCACTTAAGCACTAGGGCAGGTAGAAGGCCAGTACACACACACACACACACACATATATATATATATATATATAAAGTTGTATGCAAAACACCACCCGTCAAATTGCACATTTGCAGTAAGTTGTCAATACTTAGTGAAAAATTGTCGACAAGTTTAATTGACATGTAATTGGTGTCATTGTTGTTGACGTAGAAAAATGGTTCGGCACTTTCCCGCTCAACTTAGTGATTTGTTTTTCCTTCGGTATGCTATGTCCTCGGTAGGGCGTTATACCTGTCAGATAGTGTTAGAAAAAACAATTATCAATGACTGATTAAAACAATTATATAAACAGAATTTATAACAATCTGTATCACAGAATACAATATATGAACAATAAATGAAACTGACTTGAATTTGAGATAGAGGCTTGCAGATTTGATGCAATGTCCTAAAGACAGTAATTTCACCTCTTCTCGGTGCTTGAAGTTCTACAGGTGACTGCCTCTCAGGATTCAACTATCTGTATTCTAAGCCCTAGCACTCGGACTTAGAATCTGGCGAACGTTGTTTGTTTTCCTCTCAGACAATATGAAATGCTTGTAGAATGCTTTTTCTGTATTGAACGTATGAGGCCTTATTTGATTTAAATAAACTTTTGAAACCTTATCAGAAGAGTCACAATTGTTAGAAAACAGTTAATAAAACTAATCCGAATTAATAAAAAATTATTAATTCGAAACCAAAAAATAATTTTAAATCTGAAAGTGCCCAAGTGCCCATCTTTTTGACTATTAAATATTATATATTTTTATATAATATTCAAAGCCCAAATCGATTTTGAAGCCCAAATTGCTTCCATTTGGCCTACTTCCATTTACTAAGTGTGGCACTTCCACACTTATAAGGACATCACTCTTTCTACTTTCTATCAATGTAGGACAAAGGTTCTTGAATTTAATTCAAACTTCCAACAGATAGTAAACGTTCGGTAAGTCCTAGGGCACCGGTGTGGTACCGGCCAAAGGTTCTCCGATACTTAAATAAGTACGGATTTAGTAAGTTTGAACTACAGATCAATAGACAGTATGCCGTGAGTTCTGATTGATGACCTCCAAGCTGGGATGGCGCTGCGATTTGGAAAAAGTGAGACGACGACATGAGCTGGAATTTCCGTCCTTCAGGATGCGCGCAGCCTGAATTTCCGTCCTTCAGGATGCGCGCAGCCTGTGTATGGTACCCTATTAGTCTTAATTTTTGTGATTTCAGTTATTTGTGTTGAATGAGTTTGAGGTCATATCATATGGGTTATTTTGCAGTGTTTTCTAATCCTTGTCGAACATGCACGATGACGTTTTATAAGAATTGTCGAACATGCACGATGACGTTTTAAAGCACGGTGTGGCCAAGCCCATTAACTAGTGAGACCCTCACTCAAGCCCAATCCCACTATTGACAGCCGACCAAGTTGAATTGAAGAGGAGAGAAATTCATAGCAAGCCTCGACTCTCAGCCACCCTTCTCTGTCTTGGTAGAGTAGGTCAGGTATATTTCATCACGAATTCAATTTGGTTGATTTTCGCTCTGCTGATTTAGTGAGATATATATATGCTTCCTATTATTATGCTTCAATTGCATTCATATCATTATAATTTGATTTGATTTGATTTAGGTTTGGGGGTTAGGGTTTTGGGATTCATCTAGCATTGCATAATAGAGTTGGAGAAGAGGAGAGGCATATGACAACAGCTATTCGGTCTGTGGTTGGAAAGTTGGGGAGTAAATACTCTTCATGTTGTCACAGCAAAGGAAGAACAGTAGCAAACATGGTTAGGGTTGGGGACTTTCAAATTAGGAGCTCAGTAGTCAGCAACTACAATATTGACCGTGATGTCTTGTTTTCAATTTCAAAGCCGCCTCCTTCTTATGGTTATTCCTCTCGCCATCCTTTTCTTTTTGGTAACCACCATAAGAAAGCTCCGCCAGTTCTGCATCTGGAATATTTTAAGTGGGCCGGTGTAAGTATGATATTACCTTTTGCATCTAATGCTGAAATGATTTCTACTTTTGGTACATGTATGTATGCAATTCACTTTTATGGTCTTACTTCGCATTCTAACTCAATTATTGTCTTATTGCGTGTGCTTGTAACACTACTTTAGGGATTAGCAGGTAATCATCGTGTAGCTCCGTATTCTATGGATAATCCCAATACCATAGCTCTTGCCATTTTCGCTGTGAGAGAGTACAACAAGGAAAAGGTTTGAACATATCATATACCTCTTCCAATTTATTGAAAAAATAATTAATATTTACTAATCGTAGTTTTTTTTGTATTAATGTTTAATTGTTTGAACTCTACATAATGTTCTCCGTTCTCTTTTAGAATGCCAAACTGCAGCTTGTGAGAGTTTTGAGGGCATGGTACAAATGTTCTGGTGCTTCAATCTCATATTTTTTCAAAATGGAGGCAGTTGATGAGGGTGTGGTTAAAGTTTACCAAGCATTGGTTTTTGTACGTAGCCGCGAAACGGTGCTACGATTGTTTGGTCTTCTTAATGTTGATAACGGGAGTTTGTTAAAACTAATTTTTAAAAGACCTACAACAACTTGTGAAGGACCGTATGAGTGCATAGGTAACTATATTATTATGCCATTCTATATTGATTATTAATCCTTACAAATTTAATTTCTCAGATTTTTAAAAAGTCCATTAAACTCTAGATTGGATATTTGTCACCGTGCCTTGAAACATGCTCGGTCCATATATTAATTTGCAGATGGCAATTCTTCTTACACATTTTTTTTTTTGATATATGGTACTTTCAAACGCACTGATTGGCATTAGTGTTTCATTGTCATTTCCACAGGCCAAAGGCACATGAAGATGAAGATTCCAAGAAAGACAAGCAGAAATTGTCTTGAGGAAGAGATACTAAGCACCTTACTACGCATGTCACCTCTCCGATAATATTAAGCTGCATAAATTTGACAGGGAGCTGATATTTATATTTATTCTTGAAACGAATATTCATGGTGTATATTCATCATGAGTTTTTTATTTTGTATTGTTGACAGAGCACCAGTTTAAGTTTTGCGTTTTAGTAAAGATTGAGATTTTGTCTTGGATATACTTTAAAGAGGGAGGGGATGTTTAGAGATAAGCCACTGCCCGACGAGGCCGCCTATAGGTGGTAGGATAGGGTGGGTGGTACCGCTCAGATTGTGGCCAATCTTCTTAACTTATTTTCAGGAATTTTTTGAAAATTCGATTACTTATTTTCAGAGCATTTTTAAAGGAGGAATTACTGTTCATAGTAGCTTTGGGTGCAGGTGAAAAGAATTGAGCAGAGTGTTCTGATGGAGGCACTTTTAGGTTTAAGGAAGAATCAACAGATTATGAGCTCTAGTAGGGGTGTTACTGTTCTGGACAGTCAGCGCGTTTATTTCAACCACACGAGTATTGAAGATTTTGATGTGCGTGTCTAGGGAGATTTGATTTAATTTACCCATTTCATTAATTTAAAACTTAAATTTATCCAATAGTCAAGTAAGCTGTGAGAAAAATGAACCCAAACGTATAAAATGTCTTGCAATTTGCAAACCAACCTCATGTAAATTGCATGACATACACTTCCGCATTTACAATACACATCTATAAAGGCATTTGCCAAAGAGACTTCCTTTGCAAAACCAAGTTTATTTAGCACAGCGTGAACTTCTTTTCTCTTTATTCAAATCCATCAAGCCAACAGACTTTTAGGTGGCAAAAATGAGCACATAAAAATGAGAAAAAGTAGAGGAGGAGGAGGAGAGGGAGGGGAGATGGAAGAGTCTAGAAAAAGTAGACAGGGGATTGAGAATAAGATTGACTTAAGGTGGCAAAAATAAGAGAGCAATTCCCCCAAAAAAAACAAAAAAACTTAATATATTAGTACAAATAATGTTGTTTATTTATCTTGTATGTGGTTTAAGCGTGAAATCTCAACATATTTCTGAATTCAGAAACTCAAGGTACATTCCAATTCCAGTCCAACTTATACCAGAATTTTTGAATGCCGTAATTGATTTGAACTTGCCAAAATTAGAGAGTGTGAGGTGAGGCTTGATTATCCAAATGGGGTATCATGGGAAGTTAAACCAAGGCTTGATGAAGAGGCGCGTCATGGTGGTCGTTTGCTCATGACACAAGGGTGGTTAGGATGTTGGGAAGCAACGGACACAATGGTTTTCGAGCTTGTCAATGCAAGGACGGATCTATGTATTGGTTAAAAACTATTTATGACTATAATAATCTTTAAAAAAGAAATTAGTCTTGGGGGTTTTGGATATTTATTATTTTCTTATATATGTGGAGGTGGGCTCTACTTGCCACGTCGCCCCTTTAATTGGTGGATAATGATCCATGTGTATGAGATTACAAAGATACCCTTGCCACATCATCATAGTTAACAGACTTTTAGAGCACGTCCGGGGGGCAACCCAAACTGGGGGAAAGGCCCCCCTGGTGAGCCCAAGCATGCTCCAGCGCGAGGGAAGAAGACTGGGTTCCAGCTGGGTCCCACCAACTCGGGAAGGCCCAAGGGCAAGTTTTGCCTGGGCTGTTGACGTCAGCAGCTGATTTTCAATTTTTTTTTTTACTATTGGACCTACCAGCCCACATTACCCAATGGTTACAAGCCATGTGGCTTCTCCTAGAGCCTCCGATAAAAAAATCTTGCACAATCCAACGGTTGTCCAATTTTTGGCTAAAAAAATTGAAAAAAATATCAAAATTTTTTAAAAAAAATATCAAAAAATTCTGGAAATTTTTTCTATACATACTACGAATATTATTCACTTTCCACACCAATTTAATTTCAAAATTTTATTCGAAAATGTTATCTTGATTTTTATGTGAGGATTTTACGATAAATATTAAACTTGGGAATTGAAAATCTTTTCCGAAAAACTTATCAAAATCAATGGTTTAAGTATAAAAAATAAAAAATAAATTTAAGTGAATAGTAATTGCCTTAGACTTTGCCCTCATGGGTGGAACCACAAATGCAAAGGTTGACACTATTCACATGAATAGTAGCAGCCCTTGCTTGCCCTTGCCTTAGACTTAGCCCTTGTGGGTGGAAGTGCTCGTAGACAGAGTTAACGGCAGGAGGCAAAGTGAGTTACCAACCCATGGTCAAGCGAGGTAAGTTAAACCAAGGCTTGATGAAGAGGCGCGTCATGGTGGTCGTTTGCTCATGACACAAGGGTGGTTAGGATGTTGGGAAGCAACGGACACAATGGTTTTCGAGCTTGTCAATGCAAGGACGGATCTATGTATTGGTTAAAAACTATTTATGACTATAATAATCTTTAAAAAAGAAATTAGTTTTGTGGGGTTTGGATATTTATTATTTTCTTATATATGTGGAGGTGGGCTCTACTTGCCACATCACCCCTTTAATTGGTGGATAATGATCCATGTGTATGAGATTACAAAGATACCCTTGCCACATCATCATAGTTAACAGACTTTTAGACAGAGTTAACGGCAGGAGGCAAAGTGAGTTACCAACCCATGGTCAAGCGAGGTAAATGGGCCACTTTAAGTTTCGGGGGGCAATGTGAGATTTGATCGTAGTTTCAAAGGATATTTGTGTAAATAAGCCTAAATTAATATCAAAACCAACTTGGGAAATATTGAAGGGAGTTTCACTAAAACACCCAAAATGGAGGTTGAAATTATAAAAAAACCCAACACCCAAAACACTTTATAAACACACCCAAAACTCATCATTACACACACTCAAAACCCATTTATAAACACACCCAAAAAGTTGACTTTGGGGTTGATTTTGGGTGTGTTTCTATGTTTAAATAGTGCTTGGGTTTTTTTATAAATACATGTCTAGGATTGGGTTTATTTATAAATTTGTAAATATTGAATGTCTGCCAACACAAAATTTTTTTTAATAAATTTTATTCTAAGTTTGGGTTTTTTCAAAAAAATTTGATATGGGCTCGCTGGGCTTGTTTTGAGTTTTTTTGGGAATTTTGTTTTGGGCTTGTTTTAAGTTTTTTTGGGAATTTTGTTTTGGGTTTGTTTTAAGTTAATCAATGACAGATATGTAATTTATAGGAACTTCAATACTAATTTCATATGTAGTAAATGGTTTTTGGATGTGTTTCTAAAGTGCATTCCATGTAAGGTTTTTTTTTTTTTTTATAATTACAGCCCCTATTTTGGATATATTACTAAAGCTCCCCAAAAAAAAAGGGAGATATTTTTATCCTAATTTTTTTTCACCTATTTTAAATAATTTCAAGCATTTTTATATTTAATTTGAATTTTAAATTGTTAAATTTATCAAAATACCCATGCCGACATCAAGTTTCAAGGGGCATTTGAAAAAGGCCAAAAAAGAGAGAAATATTTTAAAAAGAAGCCAAAATGAACAAAAATGCTCTTATTTATTTTTGAATTTCCTAAAGACAAAAATGCCAAAATGGACAAACCTAAATTTACTATGGGGCTTATCTACTCTTCCTTTTATTCTGACTGGGCTTGTATTTTGTTCAAAACACCAGTGAGGGCTCTCGTTAACGGCCTTGGGCTTACAGTAGATAAAACGGTATCGTTTTTGTTTTTAGAATGCATGAAGCGGCGATGAGAGACCTTTCTCTTTAGGGTCTAGGCGTTTTCACGGCCACACGCTCCTTTTCTCTGTTTCGGAGGCAGGTAGGTGCAAAGAAACTCCCTTTTTGGTTTTGTTAGAGGCCATGGGCAATGGTTCGAACGGCCAGGAAGATGGGTTGATAATCGTTTCTATTATTTGTATTATTAGATTTTCTAGCTATATATATGGCTTATTAATCAGTGTGATTTCATTGATGCCCAGGTTATGGCTGTTCGTTCTGTGCTTGGAAAGCTGGGTAGGAGTAGATTTATTCCCAACAATGGAAGACTTATCATGGGTGGGACTTCTCCTACTGTTTGTTCCTCTCCTCATCACCCTTTTGATTATTATGGGGTCGTCCATGATCAAAACAAAGCGGATCAAAAAAGCAATCCTTTTCTTCTTGGATCGCTTATGAAAGAGGTGCGTCATGCGTGTGTGTATTAATTATGTTATTGCCTTCACTTTCATTGCAATTCAATTCAAATATCAAGTGTTGATAGACTCATGATTCAATTCACAGCCAGTTTATTGTCATTTGGATTTTGGAGGACTAGGACCTGCTCGTTTCGCCATCGAAGAGTTGAGGAAGAAAAGGGTTTCATTTTTTTTGCCCTTTTTACTACAATATATGCAAGATTTAGTCTTTCCTAAGAAGAGCTTTTTTATTGCTAATGGTTTTGTGGATTATTATTGACACGTTTGATATCTGTATAATGATTTGGCATCTCTTGTAGAATATCCAACTGCAGTCTGTGAGAGTGCTGAGGGTGTTAGCATGGAAAGATGTTGGCTTGCCACGACATGATTCTGACTATGATCTACTGCTGGAGGCAGTTGATGCCGATGTGATGAGATATTTCGAAGTAACAGTGTCAGTTAATTCCAGGGATGGCTTGTGGTTGGAAGACTTTTGTCTTCTCGTTGATAATGAAAAACCTATAAGATTATATCATCACCTAGGTACTATAATTATGGCATGCTGCTTTCACAATATCCTTAAGAATTTAGTATTAGTAATGTGATCATTCCAGGACTCACTTGTTATTGTAGTTTAACTATACAAACCGTCACTACAAGAAAAAGCATTAGTAGCCACTGACATCAGTCGTACAGAATGGCTAGAGGTACTATTAGTGTCTAATATCACAATGGTCACCAATAACTGTGGCTGTTAGCTATTAGCCCTTTAGCCACCTCATCTATGCAACTAATTTCAGTGACTATTAAGGGTTTTTCTTTTATTGTTGATTTTTCAAGTCTTTACTTATAGATCATCCTTAAAAAAAAAAATTAGGCAAATCGTAAGCATCTAGTTGCAATGAAATAATTTGACGAACATGGTTTTCTCAATTGATATTAAAATGATTACCTTCCAATCAAATAGTTATATATTTTATGATTTTTGTGATTTTGTTGCAAATATGATCTATGAGGTAAGACTTAATAATTAGAGAGTCGTGATCAAAACTCAATGCGGAGTTGGTGGGGTTAGTCTGCTAATGATATTCCTCATTATGCATATGAAGTAGTTCTTTTGGATGACAAACCCGAAAACGTGAGAATGTTGCATATTGATGAATGAATCGAATTTTTTGCTTGAAACAGACAACGTTTTTGATGCATATGCTAAGGCTCGAGAGCAGTTATCATTTGGTATGCGAAAAGGAAACCTCTCTCTGCTGCCTCCTTCAGCCCTCCCTCATCTCTCATACACAAACCCGGGACACAAAGAGGAAACCACCACTCCAAAACGCAGGTATTCATATCAGTTATGTTTGTTGTCGTCTTATTTTTGGGTTTCCACAGTTCAGGTTTTTTTTTTTTTTAAAAAAAAAAACCTTATGTTTTTTATTTTGGATCTGGATTCCTCAGAGGTCGAACGAATGCATGTGAAGCGGCGAAACACTTCGGTCCAGCTCCCGGTGTACCTCAAAAGTACACCAAACCTTATGTCCGGTCAAAGAGAAGGAAGTTTGAGAAGGCTAGAGGAAAGAGGAACAATGAGGGCTTTAGAGGTTGAATCATTTAGAATTGAAAATGCTATTTGTAGAACCTAATTTTGCTGGTCTTTAGGTGTCTGGTATCATGTTTATTTCTCTGTCTAGTAAATGTGTTGATGAAGGCATTGCTGGTTCAACAAGAGAGAAGCCCACTACCATCTATCTCGAAAACTATCCATGTGTATGGTTTTCTGCAACCTGAATGGCCAAAATATTTAAAATTGTGTTATTTTTTATTCTTTCGAGATGCTTAGCTGCAGCTTGCGGAAGTTGAAATTAGTGTGTTCAGAAATGTGAAAGGTGGTGTATGTGAGAGTTATGCAACTCCTAAACCCATAAAGGTGGCTCGTGTAAGTACATAGGTGAAAGATAGTAGCAGCATTAGGAAGATTTTGATTGTTTATTGAAAGTCCAATGTCTGATAAATAAAAGAAAATTTGTGGCCATGAGATTCCGTAGATCATATGATTCTTCCTGAGAATGTGTGTTTGTCTAAGTCCATCGCATATTGATTCCCTTTGTTACCATCCACTTGATACTTAGAGCCTCCTGACCACATTATAGTGCATTGCCCAGACTTAACCTTTTTGGTTTGTAGTTTGTTAAAAATGCTAGGGTATATACCATAATGCGAATTCCATCATCCTGAATCCTATTCTACTCATTAGTAGGCATTTTATAATCTCTACCAAAGTTATGATTGGCTTATTTGTTGCATCTGAAATTGTGTTGTTGAATGTCTCATAAGCGTTGTTGATGAGTATGTCACATTTCACATGTACTTTGAAGTGGGATTTAGACCACTGTTGTGGAGACTTAGATAATAACCATTCTCTTATGATATTGCAAGACTGTAGTGGCTTTGACACAACCCCAGTAGATGTCTTTAAATGTATTGCCTTTGAGTAATTTTATGTAGTAACTAAATAAATGCCTCGCACAAAAACGATGCTCAGCATTAAGTACTATAACTTCTCTTCAAATGCTCTAGACAATCTTTTTTGCCTGTCAGATTTAAATCCCCACCCATGTGAGTTAACAATATCAAAATTAGCAGCTAGCAATTCAAGGAACCAAGTCCAAGAGTGTTTTGTCTTTATCTCCACCACTACATAAGGAATGACCAATGTCTCATTCTTAGCATCTATCCCAATTGTTGTCAACATTTTGTCCCTCATACACTGCCATCAAGTGACAACCATCTATTCCAATTAGAGGCCTATAACCTTCATTGAACCCCTTTTTACACTCTCATAAACATACATAAAGTCTTTGATACACTGCACCATTTCCATTTAAATCACACTTTATTTTCATGGTGGTTCTTGGATTAGTTCTCTTCACTTCTTCACGACCATTCATTTGAAGCAGCATCTAGTAACGACTTTGGAACAATAAGTTAAAACTATTTTGTTTTCGTATTTAACTTTTCCACGACCACCTTCTAATCTTTATCCAAATTTGGTGCAAGCAGTGTAACAAGCACACACAATAAGACTATATCAGAACACATTAACACAGAGACATTTTTTGGGTCTTGTAGAGGAAATGGTATCAACCTTCAAACTAGGACCACTAGCACTTAAGCACTAGGGAAGGTAGAAGGCCAGTACACACACACACACACATATATATATAAAGTTGTATGCAAAACACCACCCGTCAAATTGCACATTTGCAATAAGTTGTCAATACTTAGTGAAAAATTGTCGACAAGTTTAATTGACATGTAATTGGTGTCATTGTTGTTGACGTAGAAAAATTATTCGGCACTTTCCCGCTCAACTTAGTGATTTGTTTTTCCTTCGGTATGCTATGTCCTCGGTAGGGCGTTATACCTGTCAGATAGTAAACGTTCGGTAAGTCCTAGGGCACCGGTGTGGTACCGGCCGAAGGCTCTCCGATGCTTAAATGAGTACGGATTTAGTAAGTTTGAACTACAGATCAATAGACAGTATGCCGTGAGTTCTGATTGATTACCTCCAAGCTGGGATGGCGCTGCGATTTGGAAAAAGTGAGACGACGACATGAGCTGGAATTTCCGTCCTTCAGGATGCGCGCAGCCTGTGTATGGTACCCTATTAGTCTTAATTTTTGTGATTTCAGTTATTTGTGTTGAATGAGTTTGAGGTCATATCATATGGGTTATTGTGCAGTGTTTTCTAATCCTTGTCGATAAGTATCAAAAGACTATTGTTTTATAAGAATTGTCGAACATGCACGATGACGTTTTAAAGCACGGTGTGGCCAAGCCCATTAACTAGTGAGACCCTCACTCAAGCCCAATCCCACTATTGACAGCCGACCAAGTTGAATTGAAGAGGAGAGAAATTCATAGCAAGCCTCGACTCTCAGCCACCCTTCTCTGTCTTGGTAGAGTAGGTCAGGTATATTTCATCACGAATTCAATTTGGTTGATTTTCGCTCTGCTGATTTAGTGAGATATATATATGCTTCCTATTATTATGCTTCAATTGCATTCATATCATTATAATTTGATTTGATTTGATTTGATTTAGGTTTGGGGGTTAGGGTTTTGGGATTCATCTAGCATTGCATGATAGAGTTGGGAGAAGAGGAGAGGCATATGACAACAGCTATTCGGTCTGTGGTTGGAAAGTTGGGGAGTAAATACTCTTCATGTTGTCACAGCAAAGGAAGAACAGTAGCAAACATGGTTAGGGTTGGGGACTTTCAAATTAGGAGCTCAGTAGTCAGCAACTACAATATTGACCGTGATGTCTTGTTTTCAATTTCAAAGCCGCCTCCTTCTTATGGTTATTCCTCTCGCCATCCTTTTCTTTTTGGTAACCACCATAAGAAAGCTCCGCCAGTTCTGCATCTGGAATATTTTAAGTGGTCCCGTGTAAGTATGATATTACCTTTTGCATCTAATGCGTAAATGATTTCTACTTTTGTTACATGTATGTATGCAATTCACTTTTATGGTCTTACTTGGCATTCTAACTCAATTATTGTCTTATTGCGTGTGCTTGTAACACTACTTTAGGGATTAGCAGGTAATCATCGTGTAGCTCCGTATTCTATGGATCATCCCAATACCATAGCTCTTGCCATTTTCGCTGTGAGAGAGTACAACAAGGAAAAGGTTTGAACATATCATATACCTCTTCCAGTTTTGAGGGCATGGTACAAATGTTCTGGTGCTTCGATCTCTTATTTTTTTACAATGGAGGCAGTTGATAAGGGTGTGGTTAAAGTTTTCCAAGCATTGGTTTTTTCACGTAGCGGCGAAGGGGAGCTAAGATTGTTTGGTCTTCTTAATGTTGATAACGGGAGTTTGTTAAAACTAATTGTTAAAGGACCTACAAAACCTTATGAAGGACTATCTGCGTGCATAGGTGACTATATTATGCCATGCTATATTGATTATTAATCCTTACAAATTTAATTTCTCAGATTTTTAAAAAGTCCATTAAAGTCTAGATTGGATATATTAATTTGCAGATGGCAATTCTTCTTACACATTTTTCTTCATGATATATGGTACTTTCAAATGCACTGATTGGCATGAGTGTTTCATTGTCATTTCCACAGCCCAAAGGTACATGAAGATTCCAAGAAAGACAAGCAGAAATTGTCTTGAGGAAGAGACACTAAGCACCTTACTACACATGTCACCTCTCCGATAATATTAAGCTGCATAGATTTGACAGGGAGCTGATATTTTGGTAGGATAGGGTGGGTGGTACATCTCAGATTGTGGCCAATCTTCTTAACTTATTTTCAGGAATTTTTTGAAAATTCGATTATTTATTTTCAGAGCATTTTTAAAGGAGGAATTACTGTTCATAATAGCTTTGGGTGCAGGTGAAAAGAATTGAGCAGAGTGTTCTGATGGAGGCACTTTTAGGTTTAAGGAAGAATCAACAGATATGAGCTCTAGACGGGGTGTTACCGTAGGCCCTTGCTGGACAGTCAACGCGTTTATTTCAACCGCATGAGTATTGAGGATTAATTTAACCATTTCATTAATTTTAAAACTTAAATTTATCCAATAGTCAAGTAAGCTGTGAGAAAAATGAACCCAAACGTATAAAATGTCTTGCAATTTGCAAACCAAACTCATGTAAATTGCATGGCATACACTTCCGCGTTTACGATACACATCTATAAAGGCATTTGCCAAAGAGACTTCCTTTGCAAAACCAAGTTTATTTAGAACAGCGTGAACTTCTTCTCTTTATTCAAATCCATCAAGCCAACAGACTTTTAGGTGGCAAAAATGAGCACATAAAAATGAGAAAAAGTGGAGGAGGAGGAGGAGGAGGAGGAAGAGAGGGAGGGGAGATGGAAGAGTCTAGAAAAAGTAGAGACCGGATTGAGAATAAGATTGACTTTTTTTGTTTGTCAATAAAAGAGCAAATCCCCCCCACAGGACACCACCACCGGCAGACGCATCACCACAAGTGAATAAATTTCTGAATTCAGAAGCTCAAGGTACATTCCAATTCAAATCCAACTTATACCGGAATTTTTGAATGTCGGAATTGATTTGAACTTATCAAAATTAGAGAGTGTGAGGTGAGGCTTGATTATCCAAATGGGGTATCATGGGAAGTTAAACCAAGGCTTGATGAAGAGGCGCGTCATGGTGGTCGTCTGCTCATGACACAACTTGGGAAGCAACGGACACAATGGTTTTCGAGCTTGTCAATGCAAGGACGGATCTATGTATTGGTTAAAAACTATTTATGACTATAATAATCTTTAAAAAAGAAATTGATTTTGGAGGGTTTGGATATTTATTATTTTCTTATATATGTGGAGGTGAGCTCTACTTGCCACGTCATTCCTTTAATTGGTGGATAATGATTTATGTGTATGAAATTACAAAGATACCCTTGCCACATCATTATAGTTAACAGACTTTTAGACAGAGTTAACGGCAGGGGGCAAAGTGAGTCACCAATCCATGGTCAAGCGGGGTAAGTGGGCCACTTTACGTTTCGGAGGGCAATGAGAGATTTGACCGTAGTTTCAAGAGGTATTGGTGTAAATAAACCTAAATTAATATCAAAATCAACATGGGAAATATTGAATGTCTGCCAACACAAAATTTGAAGGCTTATTTGTTGAAATGCCCCATGTAGTTTTCAAATAGTCTCAATTGCCCTATGACATTTCAAATGGCTCAATCTCCCTCCTTAACTTCTTTTAAAGGACCAAGGTTACCCTATTCTGTTAGTTTTCAGATAAAAACCGTTAAATTTGCTTAAGTGGCGTGAATATTTTGGTAAATTTAACTAATAGAAATTAAAAAATTCAAATTAAATATAAAAAAATGATTGAAATTATTTAAAAGATGTAAAAAAATAAAGATAAAAATGTCTCCTTTTTTTTCTTCTCCCTAATCATCACCCCCCACCACCTTCTCCCTCATCTCAACCAGCCTCACCGCCCAAACAACACATACCTAAAGAAAACCCACCCCAAATTCTCCCATCTCTCTCTCTCTCTAGTCAACCGCTACCCCCTCAGCTGTCAAAAGGCTCAAAACCCACAAACAAAATCACTAAATTGACTTCAAATTTCATATATGTGGTAGTCCAAATCTCCATTGGTGGCTGCCAAAGAAAGAGAGACAATTGGGAGGTGAGAGACAAAGGGTGAATTGTTGGTTAGGATTTGATGATGTCGAAGAGAGAAGGAGGAGACGGCGGTGAAGACAAAGGGTAGAGGGAGAGTTGGGTTTTTGACTGCTGGAGAGAGAGAGAGAGAGAGAGAGAGAGAGAGAGAGAGAGAGAGAGAGGGGTTGCTGGATTTTTTTGGTACCTTTCTTTTGACAGAGGAATGGGGATGGGGAAGGTGGGGGTTGATTGGGCGGTGGGGTTGGTTGAGATGAGGGAAAAGGTGGTGGGGCTGACGATTGAAGGGAAAAAAAAAAGAAAAAAAGAGGAGATATTTTGATTTTTTCTATTTAAACCCCGCACTTCTCTTTGTTCACCCCAACTTCTAATTCAAATTTTCATAATTTCTAAGTAAACCCCACTGTCTTCCCAAACTACCCCTAAACACACACCCATGAGAAAAAACAATAAATAAAAAAAACTCATTAACCTCACCCCTCACCCCACTTTCTCCTTCTGTGTGGTGTTATGTCGAGCAGAAGCAATCGGAGCCCTACTCCGAGTGTTTGGTGCGGCAAGAGTTTTAGGCACCTCAGTCTTTTCTTGGTCCATCTCTTCTGAAACGGCTCTCCTCTCATTCTTTTCTTGGGGTTCCATCAATTTCCACAGCCACACTAGGCTCAAGCCGCCAAAGTTTTATCTTAGTTGTCCAGAACCAAATGAAAACAAATTGCATAATTAACACTATGGATTTAAGCACCTAAGTTAGTAATTACTAGAATCCTTAAGATCATAAATAAACTAAAAACTAATGCAACAAGAAAAAATAAAAAAAATACTTAATGTCACCTCTAAAAACCCATTTGCACAAATACAATTAACAATCACCAAGAACCCAAATGATAAGAACCCCAAAGAAAAGGAAAATGTAACCAAAACTTGAAGAAATATTGAACCAACTACTGAGGATCCTTTCCAATAAATACCAAAAAGAATAATAAATAACCTAGATAACAGCAACGTCAGGGAAACAATTATAAATTCAGAAAAGACAAATAAAAAGATTACTCAGTGTCAAGAAGATAATGGCGATGTAATTACAAGTGGTTATCTTTATGTCTTCATGAATGACAAATGAAGAGCAGTCATGCGAGAGCTCGATGATTGCCCGGACTTTGCAAGCAATGGTTTTTGTTTTTTTGTTGTTGATAGAAGTGAATTATGTTCTTAATTTGAGCAATTAGAAACCAAAGAAAATTACGGGTTTTAAACACAATAATAAGTGGATGACTTTTTTTGTCTTTTAACTCAATAATAAAACTTAAGATCTTAATGATTTAAGTATTGGGGTGAACAAAGAAAAGTATGGGATTTAAATAAAAAAACTCGATATTTTTATCCTTTTTTTTAAAATACCTATTTTAAATAATTTCAAGCAATTTTATATTTAATTTGAATTTTAAATTGTTAAATTTATCAAAATACCCACGCCCACGTCAAGTTTCAATGGGGCTTATCTACTCTTCCTTTTATTCTGATTGGGCTTGTATTTTGTTCAAAATACCAGTGAGGGCTCTCGTTAATGGCCTTGGGCATACAGTAGATAAAACGGTATTTTGTTTTTAGAATGCATGAAGCGGCGATGAGAGACCTTTCTCTTTAGGGTTTAGGCGTTAATTAAGTTCACGGCCACACGCTCCTTTTCTCTGTTTCCGAGGCAGGTAGGTACAAAGAAACTCCCCTTTTGGTTTTGTTAGAGGCCATGGGAAATGGTTCGAACGGCCAGGAAGATGGGTTGATAATCGTTTCTATTATTTGTATTTTTAGATTTTCTAGCTATATATATGGCTTATTAATTAGTGTGATTTCATTGATGCCCAGGTTATGGCTGTTCGTTCTGTGCTTGGAAAGCTGGGTAGGAGTAGATTTATTCCCAACAATGGAAGACTTATCATGGTTGGGAGTTCTCCTACTGTTTGTTCCTCTCCTCATCACCCTTTTGATTATTATGGGGTTGTCCATGATCAAAACAAAGCGGATAAAAAAAGCAACCCTTTTCTTCTTGGATCGCTTATGAAAGAGGTGCGTCATGCGTGTGTGTATTAATTATGTTATCGCCTTCACTTTCATTGCAATTCAATTCAAATATCAAGTGTTGATAGACTCGTGATTATTCACAGCCAGTTTATTGTCATTTGGATTTTGGAGGACTAGGTCCTGTTCGTTTCGCCATCGAAGAGTTGAGGAAGAAAAGGGTTTGATTTTTTTTTGCCCTTTTTTCTTTAGTACAGATGCATTGCTACAATATATGCAAGCTTTAGTCTTTCCTAAGAAGAGCTTCTTTATTGCTAATGGTTTTGTGGATTATTATTGACACGTTTGATATCTGTCTAATGATTTGGCATCTCTTGTAGAATATCCAACTGCAGTCTGTGAGAGTGCTGAGGGTGTTAGCATGGAAAGATGTTGGCTTGCCACGCTATGATTCTGACTATTTTCTACTGCTGGAGGCAGTTGATGCCGATGTGATGAGATATTTCGAAGTAACAGTGTCAGTTAATTCCAGGGATGGCTTGTGGTTGGAAGACTTTTGTCTTCTCGTTGATAATGAAAAACCTATAAGATTATATCATCACCTAGGTACTATAATTATGGCATGCTGCTTTCACAATATCCTTAAGAATTTAGCTAACAGTGTCAGTAATGTGATCATTCCAGGACTCACTTGTTACTGTAGTTTAACTATACAAACCGTCACTACAAGAAAAAGCATTAGTAGCCACTGACTTCAGTGGTACAGAATGGCTAGAGGTACTATTAGTGTCTAATTTCACAATGGTCACCAATAACTGCGGCTGTTAGCTATTAGCCACTGATGTTGCCCTTTAGCCACCTCATCCTATGCAACTAATTTCAGTGACTATTAACTGTTTTTCTTTTATTGTTGATTTTTCAAGTCTTTACTCATAGATCATCCTTGAAAAAAAAAAAATTAGGCAAATCGTAAGCATCTAGTTGCAATGAAATAATTTGAAGAACACGCGTGGTTTTCTCAATTGATATTAAAATGATTACCTTCCAATCAAATAGTTATATATTTTATGATTTTTGTGATTTTGTTGCAAATATGATCTATGAGGTAAGACTTAATAATTAGAGAGTCAGAAGATCAAAACTCAATGCGGAGTTGGTGGGGTTAGTCTGCTAATGATATTCCTAATTATGCATATGAAGTAGTTCTTGTGGATGACAAACCCGAAAACGTGAGAATGTTGCATATTGATGAATGAATCGAATTTTTTGCTTGAAACAGACAACTTTTTTGATGCAAATGCTAAGGCTCGAGAGCAGTTATCATTTGGTATGCGAAAAGGAAACCTCTCTCCGCTGCCTCCCTCAGCCCTCCCTCATCTCTCATACACAAACCCGGGACACAAAGAGGAAACCACCACTCCAAAACGCAGGTATTTATATTAGTTATGTTTGTTGTCGTCTTATTTTTGGGTTTCCACAGTTCAGGTAATTTTTTTTTTGAAAAAAAAAAACCTTATGTCTTGGGTTTGATTTTGGATTTGGATTCCTCAGAGGTCAAACGAATGTATGTGAAGCAGCGAAACACTTCGGTCCAGCTCCCAGTGTACCTCAAAAGTACACCAAACCTTATGTCCGGTCGAAGAGAAGGAAGTTTGAGAAGGCTAGAAGAAAGAGGAACAATAAGGGCTTTAGAGGTTGAATCATTTAGAATTGAAAATGCTATTTCTAGAACCTTATTTTGCTTGTCTTTAGGTGTCTGGTATCATGTTTATTTCTCTGTCGAGTAAATGTGTTGATGAAGGCATTGCTGGTTCAACAAGGGAGAAGCCCACTACCATCTATCTCGAAAACAATCCATGTGTATGGTTATTGCAACGTGAATGACCTAAATATTTAAAAAGACAAACTACAGTAAACCCCCAAACTTATAGGGTCACTTACTAGTTCATACCCGATTTTGGGGACATTTACCAATTCATATTCAACGTCGCGGAAACCCTACAATTTGCTTCATCCGTTATCCAAACTGTTAGTAAGGCTGTTAAATGCTGACATATCAAAAGTGTGACTCATTTTTTGATGACGTGGACTTCCACGTGGGCGAAAAAACTAATAAAAAATTATTTACATGTTAAAAATAAGTTTAAAATCAATAAAAATGAAAAAAAAAAAAAATCTCATCTCTCTTCTCCAACCCAACCAACCCTCTCTCCCTCCCGACTCAACCCCACCTCTCAACCACCACTCTCCCGTCGCCGCCCAAAGAACCACCTAGCCATCTCCCAAAACCCACCAACCCAGCCAGGGCCTAAAAAATCCAGTGCCAATTCAGATGATGAAGACGAATTGGAGGGAAAAATTTTGCATACCCATGTCTGCCATCTTCTCCTCCCTCCCTTCACTATGAATACCCAAAAACCAAAATAAAAAACCCCATAAATAAATAAAAAAAGATGCACGAGGAATGCGGTCGTTGAGGAGCCAATCCCCTATCTTCCTCTCGATTCAACCCCACCTCTTAGCCATCCCTCTCCCATCGCCCACCCCAAAACCCATTAGGAAAAAAAACCATTAGACCCACCCTCCCTCCCTACTCAGCGACCTGAAATCTCTTAGCCCACCCCAGCCTAACACCACCCCCAAGTCTTTGAGCCCCGACATCCAACACCCACCCTCCTCTAGGAACCTACACCACACACCCAGCCAACCCCATGAACTTCGCTGAGGCTCCAAAATTATGAAAACAATAATTAAAGAGGTAGAAGAGCACATCAAAGTCTCATTAATGCAACACTAATGAGAGCAATTAACTACACCAAAGTGCACAAACAATCCAGGAACCAATTCGTTATTAAAATCAAACACATGCATTGGAATCTACAAATTGAAGGATGCAGATTGATTAACTAAATTTTCAAAAACATGTAAGCTCTGTAAATGATGAAAATAGACATCACAAGCCAAAGAGGCATGCCCTCGGAAATTACGCTTGAGGCTTTTAAAATCCCTACCACAAAACAAAAACAAAACAAAAAAAATAATACAAGGCCAGTCTCCATAACCCACCAAACTCAAATCGATTTCAAAACCATTATTGTACTTGGTCAATTTATTGATCAAATTCGAATTTGAATCCAATCCTTAAGGTTGCAGAACACTAAAAAGCTTCAATTTCAGGCTTCGCTTGATTTGAACAAGAAATTTTCTTCTTGTTTAGGGCACGAATAAGACAACCGTCCAATCCGAGGCTTGCGAACATCTGCTCCTCTTCGTCATCGCTTTCAATATCCTTGGGTGGCTTCTCCGTAGTTTGAGCCATGGGAGAGTCTGTAGAATTCGAAGTTTTGATTTTTAGTGCAAACAAAACAACCGAAATGGTTTTGTTTTCGGCTTAGGTGGGGGAAGAAATCTGGGTGGAGAGAAGAAATTGGAGGGAAGGGGGAAGAAATCGGGAGAGAGAGAGAGAGAGAGAGAAAGAGAATCTGGGTAGGGTTTTTAATTTTTTAATTTAATATGTTTAAAATTTTTAAATAATTTTAAAATGAAATTTTTTTATTAATTTTAAAATGAAAATTTTTTATTAATTTTTTGTCCATGTGGAACCCCACGTCAATTAAAAAATGGGTCCCACAAATTCCACGTAGGCAGATGACGGATTTTCTAATGATCTTGCTAACGGAGAGGGCAAATTATAGGGTTTCCGCGACGTTGAGTATGTACTGGTAAATGTCTCCAAAATCGGGTATGAACTTGTAAATAACTCTATAGGTTAGGGGGTTTACTGTAGTTTGTCCAATTTAAAGTTCTGTTATTTTTTATTCTTTCGAGATGCTTAGTTGCAGCTTACATAAGTTGAAATTAGTGTGTTCAGAAATGTGAAAGGTGGTGTATGTGAGAGTTATGCAACTCCTAAACCCATAAAGGTGGCTCATGTAAGTACATAGGTGAAAGATAGTAACAGCATTAAGATTTTGATTGTTTGTTGAAAGTCCAGTGTCTGATAAATAAAAGAAAATTTGTGGCTATGAGATTCTGTAAATCATATGATTTTTCCTGAGAATGTCTGTTTGTCTAAGTCCACCGCATATTGATTCCCTTTGTTACCATCCACTTGATACTTAAAGCCTCCTAACCACATTATAGTGCATTGCCCATACTAAACCTTTTTAGTTTGTAGTTTGTTAAAAATGCTACGGTATATACCATAATGCCAATCCATCATCCTGAATGCTATTCTACTCAACAGTATGCATTTTATAATCTCTACCAACGTTATGATTGGCTTATCTGTTGAATCTGAAATTATGTTGTTGAATGTCTCATAAGGGTTGTTGATGAGCATGTCACATTTCACATGTACATTGAAGTGGGATTTAGTCGCATTTCACATGTACATTGAAGTGGGATTTAGACCATTGTTGTGGAGACTTAGATAATAGCCATTCTCTTATGATATTGCAAGATTGTAGTGGCTCTGATAGGTATGCCAGGTATGAGAGTGATAACATCAGTAGCCTTTTTGATGAGTGGCAGAGCCCATAAAAACACAACGACGTGCAACGCTGATTTTTGTGGAGATGAACAGGGGCCCCTATCCTGTTGAACTAGTTGGCCCTGATCGAGGAGCACTCTTGGCCGCTAAAACAGCACTGGTGGGTGCGGACGAACCCATATATCATCACAGCTTGTCAAACTTCTTCATGACGGACATAGGTATAAGCTTGGTCCATTATGGGAAACAGAGTCATCTGAACAACATCGATTCGGGCCTTATCAAGACGATCATCTAGGCCATCCAAAAAGATGTAAACTCGTTCCTGCATAATATCATAATATCGTTTGATATCACATTCATATTCCATCATATTGGGATGACGAAAATCAATTTATCTCCACAAGCTTTGAAGAGTATTGTAGGAGGTTTCAGTAGAGCCACAAGCTTGTTGCATACGAAAGATAGCGCCATCATAGTAGGTTGTGACAATTGCGCATCCCACACTACTTTTGCCATTGGAAAGTGAATGAAATTGCCAATCAAGGTCTGCTCCAAAGAATTAATGAGCCATCATTTCAAAATCGAGTTCTTGGTTCCCATCGGGTAAACGTCGGAGTGGTTGGAGGAGGTTGTGGAAGATCTCCATTAATATATCCCAATTTGTCTTTGTTGGTAATATACATCTC